ATGATAAAATGTTAAATTCTGATTTCTCAAAAAAGCAATAATTTACCGGAGGGGCATTTTGCTAGTCCATGACCCATTTAAGCATGTCATGGATACGCCACATAAACTAATACTACTAATTTTGGTAATATTTAAATTGTGGATTATTGATACTATGGATGGATCATCGAGTCGAGATTCGTCAAGATTTATCTTTACATAAGAAGGCATTTTTATTTTATTTTATTATAATTATTATTATAATTTTTCGTAAAAAAAAAAAAAAAATTTGGCATCGCCCAGTTTTTTTGAAATTACAAATAAATACAGCAAAAGTATTTCACAGCCACAAAAATCTTATCATGTATGACTACCTGCAGGTCACGCCAATTTTCAACCAAAAAAGGAAATAATTATTAATTAAAATTACAAGCCATTTGTTATTTTAAATCATTGTATTAAATTATTAAATCAAGCCATTTGAATTCTTAAGGTTTATATTCGATAATTTGTCCGCATTCCCAACTTTCTCCGGGTTTTAAGTTGACATAATCCGAAACATGACCAGGCTCAACACAAACCATTTGTTTATATTCATCATCGTCAAAATCGGGCAAACTTTTTGCCGTATCAATCCATGGGTTCCATACAACTAAAAAAATCAAAATCAAAATTTTTTTTTTGTTTTGTTTAAAATGGGATACAAATATATAATTTTTTTTTTAAAAAAAAAAATTACAATACCTATGTCCTTTAAATTGTTTCTTTGTAATGAGAAACCTTCTTTTAAATCTTCACTTAGATGTATTTTAACTATTTCAGTTGGAACATTCAAGTAAATTCTATCCGTCGATTGGGTAATTTTAACAAATTGATCATTATCAATACTCGTTGCATAATTATTCACTTTATCAATATATGATATATTATTTAAGCCTTCAACTGATAATTTGGAAACATCCTGTCACATAATATATAATAATTAATATTAAAAAGGAGGATTAAAAAATGATATTAAAAGGTTTTTAAAATGACGACTTACCGGGACAGAATAATAAACATGTAAAAGAGCTTGAAAATCGAATGGTGTGGAATCTTCATTTGTTACCGTCAAATCGGTTTTTAATGTGCCATCTTTGAGAGTTACAGTGTAAATTAACTTAAATTTCTTTGGCCAATCTTTTCGTAAACTTTCAGAGATTTGGGAATCACCCAACCCTTTTTTTCATTTTTCAAAACAAAAAAAGAAACATCAAAAAAAGAATGAGAAGAAAAATTTTAACAACTCCATCTTCGAAACAAAAGATTATAATTATATGAATATCTTTTTTTACCAAGTTTAACTGAAACTGATTCATTATCAGTTAAATCCTCAAGCAATTCAAAATTCGAAATCCTGGCAATACCATGTTGTGGAAGTGCGGCAGTTTCGGCAGATGGATCAGATGCTTTAGCGAATTGTGGAAACACTTTTTTGACAAAATATAACGATAAGCAAATATTAAAAAAAATTGTTAAGTGATCATAAATTGGGAAGTTTTTTTTTTTTGGTTACCTATAGGAATTCCTCCACGTATCGCCTTAGTTCCGTCGAGAAAAGACTTCTTGCTAATATATTTATAAAAACTTTTTTGAGTTGGAAATAATTAAAATTATAAACCTAATAGTTATTTACTTTACCTTAAAAATAAAAGCTCTTTCCCACGATAATTCCAACTGGTAACAGTCGCGCCATAAAAATAAACTGAAGAGGAAGAACAATTAGTTAGTTCACAGCATATAGACGAGAGCGCACGATATGATAACGTACTTTCTACTGAGGAGCCAGCATGCTCCAGAATAACTTTATCTTTTAGAACTTTAACAGACATATCTTTTTCGACTAACGTTTGAATTTCCCCCTCAAAATTTAAATTTCTGTTGTAATAACTTAGGTAACACAAAAGCGTGATAAAAAGTATAAAAAATGATAATTTAAGCTTTTTGATCTGAAATAAATTTCTGATTACGGCCGACATTACCGCACAATTTCGGTAAAGATTATTTTTTGTTTATATAAATAATTTTTTTGCCTAGAGGGAAAATGGTTTTCTTGTCAAGATAATAAGAAGGTATTGTTGTGAGCGAAATAATGTCGATTTATGATATATGAAAGATTATTGTATGAAATCAAGAGCAATTAACAATTCAAAGATATGGCGAAAAAACCAGCAATGAACTTATGTCCGTTTTCAATATTATAATTGTTTTTTAAAATTTAAAAATTTATTTATTTATTTTTTTTTATAAAAAAAAGAGAGAGAGGAGAAAGCCAGTAATGAAAGAGGGGCATATTTATCGGGCAGACTTAATTTGTTTCACAACTGTACGCTTTATATAGAATAACAAACACTCCGATATGTCGATACTTAAGTTGAAATCATGAATTTTTTGATAAAAGTAAATTTTTAATAAATTTATTCCAAGGTTTCTGAGATTATTACAAAACTTTGAGATTTTCGATGGATTTAAAGGTAGCAGACACTTATCAAATTACTGACAACCGCAAAACGAAAAAAAAAGAAAAACGATGATATTCAACGTTTCAAAAAAATGAACACCGCAGAATTGGTTGCTATCTAATTTGGTAAAGATTAGCAAATTTGTAAATTTAGTAAAATGGCTATATATGCACAACATGCATGCAGGATTTATTCGTTTGTATCTAAAAATTTTGAAATTAAGAGAATTTATTTTGTTTGTTTAGTATTTTTGTGTTATTTTATATAATAAGTACGTTTTTATTTATCTGTTTTGAATGGTGTAATAATTTCTCTCGTGATATTTTTGTTTGAAGATTTTAATAAAAGAATATGAAATAGCATGATGTCGCTGTTTATATTTAAAATCCGGCTAAATCGAATCAATTAACCGGTTGAACTCAAAAAGTTATTTTCCAAGGGAAAATATATTTGCCATTATATTATTACGATATGTTTAATTACTATCAATATGTTCTCTAACCTGGTCAATATGACCTTGCTTAATTTTAAATATATAAATGATGGGTTTCTGTCTGATTTAATAATACACTTTTCGTTGATATTTCCTCGAATTTATTATAATGATACGAAACCATCTTAACTAGATCGTGCAGAGCGTAGACTTTTAGGAGAGTGCCTTCTCTACGTTTGATTATAATTGATTTTTGACATTATTAATAAATTCAATTAAATCCGAACCATTCTGCTTTAGTTTTATATCTTAATTAGTAATCGACTCGTCACGAAACTTCCGTCACAAACTTATTTGTCGTAACTGGGAGCCACAGTCCGGCACTCTAATGCCGGCCATTTCGTGACATTTTTGATGGGTCACTAGATTTTTTTAATCCTACAACTATTGACAAAAATTTGTATGCCTTGCCAACGGTTTAAAATTGACAAATGATTTCATCTTCTTTACATGTCTAAGATCTTATTGCATAGTGAACCCCGATTAACATTAAAAACTAAAAAAATGCGATTAATAAAATAAATATTGTTTGGAGAACATGTCACGTGCAAACACGTGAATTTCCATAAAAAAAGATCTCGATAAGCATTTTCCAAGGATCTTTTTTTTTTTTTATCTTTCCTCTCAACAAGTAATATTTACCTTGTAAAATGAAACATTGGCATATACTTGGAGTTAGTAATAGTGGTTCTTTTATTGCACACTATCTTCGAAAACGCGGCCATAAGGTCACTTTACTCATGAGAGACCCCACAACCTTAAATAAATTCGATAAGCTTAATCGTTCAATTGAAGTTTCAAAGGAATTTGAACCAAAGGTTGAGATATCAAAAGAGTATCAATCAGAATGTATACATGGGTATGATTATGGAAATGTGATTGATCCTCGATATCCAAATGAATCATGTCCACCACATTTACGTATTAGGAGACTTATCGTCACGATTAAATCTCACGAATTTAGTAAATATTATCAAAGGATCTATCATCGTTTATCACCAACGAGTACAATTATCTTATTCACTTATGGAATGGGAACTTATGAAGAATTAATGAAAGATTATTATAATTTTGATGAAGCAATCAGACCAAATCTTTTAATCGGTTTAAATTCTCATCATGTTTATAAAAGGGCTTCCTATGGCACTCAATTTAAATTAATACATTCTGGATTTGGTGAAATCGACCTTGGGGTTATTCCTAGACGTTTTAATAAAACCGAACAAAAGAAAGTTGACGCAAGTTTACAACCTGAAGAACCTTTGGTGAACGTTGATGATACTAACAAGGATTTAAATAATGTATCATTGTCTGATGATAAAGTTAAAGAATTGACCACCACGACGACGACGACGGCAAATGGTGATGATGATTTAAGTAAAGATACATTAGATTCGGTGATCAAAGAATTTATTGAAATTCCAGAACTTAATGCAAGAAATGTTAATTATTCAAACATAGTTAACCGTAAACTTGAGAACCTTGCATTGAATTCAGTCATTGATCCAATTACATCAATTTATTATATACGTAATGGGTCATTATTATTTAACGCCATGGCTGACCGTGTTATAAGACCAATTTGCGCAGAATCTTCCATGGTCATCAGGAAGCACAGAGAAAGTCTTGGGATGACACCAACAAACAGATTTGCCACTGATAGATTGATTGATGCCGTGTTTCAAATCTGCTTAAAGACCCCTCATTTTGAATCTTTATCGTTACAATATATCAAAAAAAATATGCCAACGGAAATAGATTATTTAAATGGGTACATAGTTAAGTTAGGAAATGCTCATAACATTCCTACTCCCATAAATCAATTTTTAATAGACATGGTAAAAATGAGACATAATCTTCAAATGAATCCAAAACGTTTAAATGATTTATTAAAATAACTTTACGTTCCTTTTTTTCCTCTTCAAAGGAAAGAAGTAAAAAAAAAAAAAAAAAAAAAAAAAAAAAAAAAAATTAAAAAATATATAAAAAAAAAAAAAAACTTTAAAGTTTGTTAAATAAAATAAAAAAAAAAATTTTTTTTATAATTTTAATAATGACAAAAAAAAA